ATGTAAAGCCAATTTCTGGTCTCCATTGCTGTGATATGCTGGCATATTGCTGAAAGCGGAGTAAAACAAAACACGCTAACTCACTTACTCTGGGATGCAAAACTACTTTCATGATCTACGATTTAAAGCCGTGTTCATTGTCGGTCTAGACGATGCTGAAACTGAAACATTTTCTCTATATAATTAAGATAATGTGATAGACTGAGATATACTATAACATTTTGAGTTAGCCTGGTCTCCTTTTAAATTTTTCATAAAACTTCCTCACATGGGTACAATGAGTGAGGCCTATTTTCAGGTATCTCCCACCGTGACATGACTGGAATATTGCGATAGTGGCATAAAAACCTCACTCACACACTCACTCAAAGGTGAGGTGAGGTGAAATGGGGTTTAAAGTCGCGTCCAAGATTATTGCACTTATATAGTGATGTGCATGTACGTGTGTGCGTGGCTGCTTGTACTAGTCCGGACTGATGCCGATTTATAGTGCTAGCACACTGAGATACCATGCCGCAGTTTAACATGGATACCCCACTCAGACACAGTATACTGACTCCGAGCCGACCAGTCCTTGTTTAGCCCCTTAATGCCGAGCGCCAGACAGGGTAACAACAAGTACCATCTTTTAACGTCTTTTGGAATGACGCGGCTGGGGATCGAACCCCGGACCTTCCGCTCTCCGGGCGGACGCTCTACCACTAGACCACGGAGGCGGTCCTCACTCAAAGGCAGCACCGTCTACATTTCTTAATGTTGACGACAGGTTGCCTTAGTGATTGGCCATTGGCCAGCGTTTGGAAGATCTTAATTACTTGTTATTTATTTGGTTGTAGCTTTAGGAATTATAGAGGTTTTTGCTGCAACACTCTTCAGTCTGCACTCTCTCACTATGTCGCCGACATTTAAAAACAAATATTTATTATACCGACCTCCACCACATTCCAACCAGCCTGTGTACTGCCATAAGTGTTTTATGTTTAAATCAGACATAAATCATATCTCTATTTGTCTTCATGGACAACTGATCAGAGAATGACAGCCTGCCTCGTGATTTCATGTCAGAGTAAACATCATGGTTACTTGTGGATTATCTCCCTTGATTGCACAAGGCCATCAATGATGGTCAACATACCTCCGAGTAAATATTTTATTTTCAATTACTTGTGAATCCCGATTAGTAAATGACATCTTATGATTCCTATATTTGTACAGGTAATGTACCTGTCAAATATTGGTTTGTCATAACTTGCTTAGATTGATTTATGAATATGTTTTCAATTTCGTTATTTGTTTACTTTTAGGATCAAGAAATATTGTGTTGTTTATTTCACTGAGCATTAATTAATCAATGTTGTATGTGTCATCGTGTGGATACAATAGCTGTTTCAGTGGAGATTTATGTTTGATCAATAATGCTTAATGAGAAATCAATGTTTTTTGTGTTGCTCCGCATTGCAAGGTTTTAGATGAGATCTAGTTGGTTAAGTGTCCGGGTTCTAGTACAGGTAGGTCAGACAGGAAGGTGACTGGGCCATGAAGTGAGAGACTGGGGGAGGTAACATCTAACCGAGGCAAGGGAGTTAACTGACTATAAAAGTCCAGTTTCCACCCTTGCCAAACTTGGCTGGAATTTCCAGGCTCGATCCTTGCGACACCATTGGCTATTATGAGTTATGTCCCTTCTATGTACCTCTTTTTGACCAATCAGATTCCATCGCTCATATCACTCAAATTTGCTTCCAAGAAAATGGCGGCGCCCAGTCAAGATGATAAACAAGATTTATATTGTAAAAAGACGGGCCTTACCCCGCGAAGTGCAACAGATCACTTGAGCACCTTGATTAAAACCATGAAAAGATTTACAAAATATCTGTTGACGGTACGCATGCTTTGCAAATCCTGCAAGTGACCAAAGCATGCGGGTTGAAATCCATGTTGTTTACGAGGCTGATATCTAGTTTGATTTTGATTAGACAATGTATAGAATCGTAAGTACTGCCAAAATGTAACTCCGGAATTCCAGCCTAGATCAGCAAGTGTGGAAACTAGACATTTATAGTTGGTTAACGCCCTTGTATCAGGAGGATGGGGTGGTAAACGAATGAAGACGTTATGGTGAGGTGAGGTGAAATGGGGTTTAACGTCGCGTCCAAGATTATTGCACTTATATAGCGACGTGCATGTACGTGTGTGTGTTTGTGTGGCTGCTTGTACTAGTCCGGACTGATGTCGATTCATTGTGCTAGCTCACTGAGATACCATGCCGCAGTTTAACATGAATACCCCTCAGACACAGTATACTGACTCCGAGCCGACCAGTCCTTGTTTTAGCCCCTTAATGCCGAGCGCCAGACAGGGTAACAACAAGTACCGTCTTTTAACGTCTTTTGGTATGACGCAACTGGGGATCGAACCCCGGACCTTCCACTCTCCAGGCGGACGCTCTACCACTAGACCACGGAGGCGGAGTGGAGTGAGTGAGGGAAGAGAGTGAATGAGGCAGCGAGAGAAGAAAGTTAGGAAGTGAGGGAAGGAAGATAGAAGAAAGGGAATTAATGAATGAGTTATTGAGTGCGTGAGAGTGAAAGGGAATTAATGAATGAGTTATTGAGTGAGTGAAGTGAGTGAGTGAATGAATGTGTTATAGAGTGTGGGAGGGAAGGAGAAAGGATAGTGAATGAATGTGTTATGGAATGAGTGAATAAATGAGTTATGAGGTGAATGAGGTAGGAAGGAGAGTGATTGAATGGAATGAGAGAGTGATCTAGAAAATTAAGAGCAAATAAATATGGAAACAATTATCCTCAAAGACAAATTTGTTTGGAATATTTCATTTCATAACATTTTTTTATGAATAGGCAAACATTTTGTATTTACTTGGATCATGACATGACAAACTTTCAATTTTCTTTTTATAAAGTGGGGAAAGTTACTGCTTTTTCTATTTTCATAGTTAGATTTGGCAAGTCCTCAGGGACAGTGAAAATATATCAGTTGTTCAATGCACATGTATCATCAATCTTCAAGTTCCAACACAGATTTTATAAGCACTGTAAGGCTATACTGTCTTGATAAACATACAGAATTTATGGAATTGAGATTTCACTTTCATAGTCGTGGCACAGTCGTTTAGAGTACAGCAGTTTGCTGTGCAGACTTACACCCCTTAGGCATGCCACAATCCGATGACTGTGGGTTCGAATTCCAGATTTGGTATGTTTCTAGTTTTGTGAACACCATACCCATACTTGTGGGTTTCACCAATGTCATAAATATAGAATACTAAACGAGCTCCCGTGTAATACCAATTTTATGAAACGAGCGAATAGTTGTGGTATCTGACGAGCGAAAGCGAGTCAGATACCACAACTATTCACGAGTTTCATAAAATTGGTTTTGCACGGGAGCGAGTTTAGTATTTCATTTATTACTTGCCATTTATAACGTTTTTTTAATTACACTGTTGAGTATGAATAGGCTGACACCTACATGATCCACGGCATAGTCTAATTGAGTTTAACAGAATAATACTTCAAACATGTCAAAAGTTAAAATGTATGAATTTAATACCATACAACGATCCACCTTTAGAATTCACAAAATTATCGTATGGCTAAGGTTATCGCAACTCACTTTAACTTTAACATAGACTTACGACTGTCGTTGCGCTACAATACGATCGCCTTGTGGAACAGAGCCTTGCACCTCAAAGTTACAATCACGTCACAATACCCGATGACGTAATTTGTGGAATTTTGTTGCAGGATCCATCGGCCAAACAATGCCATGTGACGTCACCCTAGCAACAAGGACGATTTTCATTCAAAACGAAATAATTACTATATAAATTTACCCGTATATACGGAAATTCAGTTTCCGGAACCGGATGGTCATTTTCATACACAAAACACTGAAATGAACACAAAATTGTCTCACTTACCCGGACAATACACTTCCGCTGGTGGTAATCCTTTGATCTTTTTAGAAGTCACTTAACCAAGTGACACTGAGTTACGTTTGAGACGAGCTTGTTTATTGTACATGTAATCCCATTCGATAAATATGGCGTCTGTGGAGGTCAGAGGTAAAAGTTGTGACTTCAAACTGTGTGTATGGCCTGTCAACCAGCGAAACGTAAGCGACACGCAGTTACAGCACGTGAAAAAGGGGAAATTTGTCTGATTAAGGAAAAACACCCGTCAGCAAGTTTGGAAACCATCAGTAAGCATTATGGCACTGAATTTGGACATACCATAGGAAAATCAACAATTGGTGACATTTTAAAAGACACACGAAGTGGCTAAATCTCCTGGAAAATTCAAATGACTTATCACGATCCAGTGTAGCAAAACACCAGAAGCTGGAAGATGCATTATATCTTTGGTTGTGTGACATGACAAGTTGTAATGTGCCCGTTAATGAATAAAGATTGAGTGGATGTATCTGTTTGCTCTGTCATCTGTCATGAGTTGCATAATTGAAGGGAAGTAACTCTTCCAGTAAGAAGCTGGTTTCAGTGAAATGACGCAAGTGTCCGAATAAACGATGCACGACTGTACATACTTCTCTATATGTTTCTATGTTTGGTGTTTCTTTTGGTGGTGAGTATATATATCTAAAAATAAGGCACTAGCAAGCAGGATCTAAACATGTGCCAATCATTTGTATACTTTAAGAATTCCGTTCTCACACTTTCTAGATTTCCTTGAACCAGGATTTAGCTGACAAATTCCCAGACAAATAATATGTGAAGTGTGATTGTTTTTAACACCAGTAATTATCACCTCTGGACCATGAAATAATTCAATCACACATTTTCCGTCGCTGTTCGCTGTATTTATTCATGAGCATGAACCAGGTGTTGCTCTAACGGCAGTGTTTTGTTTACCTCAATCACAAACTTAATGTAGGATTGTAAACAATTACACTCTTACCGGGTCTCACAATAGGTAATTTAATCTTGTTTTCTCTCTATTTGTCATGTGTTGTCTATGCAGTGGTCAAGGAAAGACTGACCGCCAGCTGACCCTGGTGAGTCAAGAGGTGCGGGTGGTTGGAACTAAGTGTTATTTGCCGGGTACATAAACTGATGGGAAAAAGCCATCGACTTTCATATCTTTGAGAGCGTAGTTGCAGAGTAGACAGGAAATTGCTTCTGGGGATATGAGGTAAGCTTATTTAGTTTCGACATTTTGTAATTAAAGATTGGGGATATGTGACATATATTATTTGTATAAGAAGAAATATAGTCTTATTATTTGATTTCTGTCTGCTATGTTACGGGAGGGAAAAAAGTTTAACATTTAATGATACAATACTTATAAATATCCCTGTTTTAGGAGCAAACGTTCATACTTTTTCACAATTATGAAATATAATTAAAACTACTGTTGTTGATGGATCTTTTTATGTGTAATTTTATGAAACTATTATTACAAGAATTGTTTTCTGAAATCTTTGTCAAATCAACCCTGATAAATCAAAGAAAAATTTGTACAACCCTTGACATATTGGTGTCGAAAATCCATTTAAGAATATATGTTAGTGAGTTTTCTTATACTGTTTTCATATATGTGTAGATTTCTTGCCTGTCAAATACTCAATAGGTTCAGTTATTTAGAAAAGAATGGTTATCATTGGATATAATGTCTCATAGTGATGATGATGATGATAATGATGATAATGATGATGACGATGATGATTTTCATCATCAATCAAAATCCACTTCTCCCATCCTACACAAAGTATAAGGCTTAGCAATTCTCTTTATCTAAAAACAATATATTATGCAAAACAATATGAGCTTGACTATAGTAATTCATTCATGACGTAAGTGAGGCAATATTTCTAGGAAGGATAATATTCTCGACAGAGAGAAAATCAACCATGATTCCAATGAAGGACAGTCAAACACCAGTTATATTGCCGATCAGTGACGTAAAAGCTTCCAGACCTGGCTGTTAGTCGGATCTCAGATGATTGATGGATTGGCCCCACTATTAGAAAAATAAGAGGTTTTGCTCTCAGTCTGGAGTGGTGTGCCATCTGGAGGCAGGATTATAGAGAGGAGAGTCAATACACTTCGTCAAGTTTTATCTCGCCCTGCCATGACTGTACACATGCCAACATGGTAAAAATGACAAATTGCTGTTTGTGAAAATATTGGAACCACCGCTGTAGTTTATAATGGATGGATTGACAACCAGTTGTTGGCAGTCATTGGGCGGTGGGTGGGTGGGTGGGTGTTCTTGTGTTTTGTGCTGCGTCCTGTCTGGGGACTCGTGACTGATCAGTTCTTGATGGTGAAAACCACCCTGTGTCATTGTTTGTTGGTAAATCGTTTTGAGGGGACACAGTGTCATGAAATGTATTTGTGGAAATTGATTGTTTTGTTGGAATTAATATGAATATCACATGTACAAATCACATGGATGAGATTACCTCCCCTGATTGATGCAGGAACTGATGCTTATCACTTTGCCCAAATCCAAATACTCAGTTAATTTTAAGTTCATTATACATTTTGTGATGAAGTACTATATTTTTCTGAAAATATAAAATCAGTACTTCACTCAAGTGAAGTAACGCCCTCTGCTGGAATGTGTTTTCAGTCTGCCAAGTAATACTCTGGTTTTTGGGGTACATAGAGCCCATTAATATAAATCATAATACAAAAATATTTGTCTTTTTTGTTATAAAATACAGTAAACTATATATGTAACCTATATAACGAACACACTTACAACGAACTGACAGATATAACGAACTATTTCTTGGTCCCGTCTATTTGCTGTATACATGTTGTATATATAGAGAATCTCACCCCAGTGTCTTTTGATATCAAATATATCAACACGAGTTGATAAAAGTGGAAAAATTCCGAGGCTTGCCACTTTTATCAACGAGTGTTGATATATTTGATATCAAAAGACACGAGGGTGAGATTTTATTTATCATCCAACATCATTCTTTCAACTTTTCCAATTTGTAGACAGTAATTAGGAGTGTCTTCAGTGTAAAATGTACTGCAAACAGCTTCAATAGCAGAGCCATTAGTGATGTCATTTGATTGTGATGTCATGATTACCAGTGACGTCACAATTGTCTGCAAAGCATTGTGATGTAATTTCATTGCAGTGGGAGCTAGTTTTGGATGATAAATGCTTATAACCAACTACAGTTATAACGAATTAAAATTATTTGTCCCTTTGAGTTCGTTATAACCGTAGTTGACTGTAACATGTTTATCTCATCTGCACCACTCATAAAAATATTATCTCTGTCCAGTCACTCAATGAGATAAGCATTGGCAATAGGGCTGGGACGAGTCCAAATTTACTACCCGGGTACCCATTCCTCTATTACCCGACCCTACCCGGGTACCCACTGTATGTCTCAGGAGATGTCTCAAATTGTCCGATTGGGAACATTTTTAGCATAGCCCTGGCAAAACGTATTTAGATACATGTATTAAACAATCTGGTCATTCACACACTGAAGTTGAATTAAGTTATAACTTTATTCAACCATATGAAAAATCAGAAGGAATGGGTGCATAGTCAGAAAGAAATGCGAACATTAGTGACTTGTAGTGTGACCATAGAGTTCTAGATACTTTTGTCATTAAACAATATGTCACGTGACTAACCAGGGGTCCGGGTAGTCCTGTGGGTACCCGGGTCCTACTCAGGACCCACCCGACCCGGATAGCCAAGTTATCTGTCCCACCCCGAATTGGCAAGTTAGCCAGTCAGTCATTTATGTGTTTCACGTCCAGTTCTGATCAAGTCAATTTAAGCCCAAATGTGCCCTCTGTCTTTTGGACTATTTGAAATGACTGAACTTCGTAATGTACTTCAAGATGCATCTTGTGGTGGTCCGGTATGTCCACTGTGTCTAGATGGTGAATGTTGTAGCAGGACTTGACATGTTAGTGAATGGACAGTTGCCAGACCGATTAGAATGTTCTCAGACTACTGACTGATGTCACAGAATGTATCACACAATGTATTTCAATCACATGTCAGGAATTAGACAGAATCTGGGTGTTACGAGCACTTGCAGATTATATCTCCCAAGAGTGGCTTAATGTCACAATCCTGGAAGTCGAGTGTGTTGTTGTCTTTATTGCTCAAGTTGACATGTAATCATGTTTGTAGATATGACTGTTGGTTCCGAAGGTCAATATCATGACACCATTGTTGATGATAATGCCTGGTGCAATTCACATCAACAATGGCTAAAAATCAAAACCCACATGTTGTTGAAGCTTAATACCAGATTCAAAATACTTTCAAGGAGTCATGGTAGAACAAGAGTACAATATATATTTTAGATCAAAACAATAAATATATATAGAACAATTTCAGACATCATATACATACATTGTATGTATGAATTAACATCAGGATGAAGGGTTTTAGAACTTAATCATTTGTACCCTGGTAAATTAATGTGCAAGGGAGACAATTCATAAATTGGACCAGTGAAGATCTGGTGTAGAATAGGTCTTCAGCAACCAATACTTGCCGTAAAAGGCGACTATGCTTGCCGTAAGAGGCGACTAATGGGATCGGGTGGTCAGACTCGCTGACTTAGTTGATGGATGTCATCGTATCCCCATTGCGTAGATCGATACTCATGATGGCAATCACTGTATTGTCTGGTCCAGACTCTGTTATCTACAAACCACCGTCATATAGCTGGAATATTGCTGAGTGCGGCATTTAACAACAAACAAACAAACAAACAAACAGCAAAGAATTCAGAGCTACAGCAGAGGAAGTTTATGGTAGCACACACTGTGTGTTTACTGATCAATGTTGACCCTATTCTTGGATCCCACTTTTGTAATAGGAAACATGGGGCTGTGATGATCCAAGCTTATTTGATACATGTACCATGCATGCAGATACCTTTAATTATCTGTGAACTTACATTGTTTATTATATAATGCAAAGATTTCCTTGCTTGTGTCCTTGGGAGATTCAGGGACAGTGGATGTCTCCAGTACACCTTGCTTGTGTCCTTGGGGGATTTAGGGACAGGGGACGTCTCCAGTACACCTTGCTTGTGTCCATGGGAGATTCAGGGACAGGGGATGTCTCCAGTACACCTTGCTTGTGTCCTTGGGGGATTCAGGGACAAGGGACGTCTCCAGTACACCTTGCTTGTGTCCTTTGGGGATTCAGGGATAGGGGATGTCTCAAGTACACCTTGCTTGTGTCCTTGAGGGATTCAGGGACAGTGGACGTCTCCAGTACACCTTGCTTGTGTCCTTGGGGGATTCAGGGACAGGGGATGTCTCCAGTACACCTTGCTTGTGTCCTTGGGGGATTCAGGGACAGGGGACGTCCTCAGTACACCTTGCTTGTGTCCTTGGGAGATTCAGGGACAGGGGACATCTCCAGTACACCTTGATTGTGTCCTTGGGGGATTCAGGGACAGGGGACGTCCTCAGTACACCTTGCTTGTGTCCTTGGGAGATTCAGGGACAATGGACGTCCTCAGTACACCTTACTTGTGTCCTTGGGAGATTCAGGGACAGGGGACGTCTCCAGTACAGCGTGCTTGTGTCCTTGGGAGATTCAGGGACAGGGGACGTCCTCAGTACACCTTGCTTGTGTCCTTGGGAGATTTAGGGACAAGGGACGTCTCCAGTACACCTTGCTTATGTCCTTGGGGGATTTAGGGACAAGGGACGTCTCCAGTACACCTTGCTTATGTCCTTGGGAGATTCAGGGACAAGGGACGTCTCCAGTACACCTTGATTGTATGAGCTTATGAGGAACAGATGGTTTTTAATGTTTGACATGATTTACTGTGTGTTATTGTACCCAGATGACTCTAAACGTTTGCCCATACTCTTTTAATGAACTTAACAGTAACTGCAGAGCATGTTCCAATGTGTTTCGGCCACAGATATCAGTGGATAGACTTTGACAATGTGATATTAAATTGACCTTTGAAATTAATGGATAAGTGATGAACATTAATGATCTGACCTGAACACATTTCTTCAGAATGTGATGGCATATGCTTCAGTGATAAAGACCATTTTCCAGGTGACTTGTAAATAAATCTCTAACCTGAGACTAATCGAGCAACTGTTCACATAATGTGACCGAGACATTGTGTATTATATTGACAGGTTAATCAAGACTTGCAG